GGACAAATCATCTACAAAAAAAATTTTTTTGAAAATTTTGCAGTGTTGTTGACTTATGTCGTCAAAGAAGAGCGGCACTGAATCGTGCACGCGACTTGTTCCGCTTCATTCAAGATTACGAAGAAGAGATGAGTTGGTTGACAGAAAAGGATGATTTATGCCGATCGGTTCTGGCCAATCGCGACCTCTCGGCAACACCGCAACTCAGTCGACTTTTCAAAGTAAACCTTTCGTTTTCTGCCGAATGTTCCGTTACCCATTCACTACCAGCAAGCGTTGTTAGCAAGCAGTAGATGTGTAGTAATCTTTGTCATCATTCAAAGAAGACTTTCGTCCAAATAAATGTAAAATTGAAGCATTTGGAAACGGAAATGGATGCACACTGGCAGACCACAAAGCGAGTGATGGGCGCCGGTGAGCGTTTGATAGCGAACGGGCAAAGTAAAGACGATATTCAACGCAGAATTCAAACTCTTCAAAGCAAATGGGAGCAATTGCGTAAGGTAAGTGTGTGGAGATGATTCGATTGAGTGGATTCGATTCGCTCAGAAATGTGACATTTTGGAGTTCGCTGTCAGTTCATTTTCATGCTCGCGTTTTATGTACTAAGGAATATGTTTTGCAGTCTGCCGAAGCAGTGCGTCGTTGGTTGAAAGAAGCCGAACAAGCGCATCAGTATTTGCAAGATGCGAATGAGGCTGAGAGTTGGATTCGTGAGAAGATGCCGTTGGTGAAGAGCGATGATTACGGGAGAGATGAACAAGCTTCCGAGAGCCTTTTGTTGAGGTAGATTTGGCTCGTCCTAGCGATTTCTTGTGCTTTTCTCAGCAAATGGTCACGAAGCTATTAATAGGAATTGAAACGAAACAATCATTTAACAATTCATTTTTGAACCGGAATTTTCTGTTAAGATTTCGATTAGCTAAGTAATTGACATGTGTAATATTTGTTCAGACACGCAAGACTGGAAGAAGAAATCCAGGCATATCGCTCAGATATCGTGCGACTTGAGGAAATGGCCGCGGAGTTGGCGAATACGGAGTTTATAGCCGGTGCTGTTGTGCACGTGGAGGAACGATTGGAAGAGTTGATGGTACCTCAAGTGCGAATGTTATATCCGTTTTCGAGTGACAATATTTCGGTGAAGAAAGACGAGGTATGTATCGCTCTTCAACGCGTTGTTTCTCCAGAAGTGAACACAGTTCTTTTCACAAAACTAAAGCTGATCTCACCGCCCAGCAGCACAATTCTGTTCATATTTTTAGATTTTGGCTCTTATCGAACGAACCAATGAAGATTGGTGGCGCGTTTTGAAGCAAGATGGTAAGGAGGGGTACGTTCCAGTGAATTATTGTGCGGTGGTTGAAGGTGAGACGGTAACCGTATCACAAACGACCACAATTAAGACACCAACAAAAGAGCCACAGGAGTCGAAGAATGCGATCATGCAAAGGCAGGAAAAGATCAGTGGAGATTATCGTAAACTGAATAATCTTGCACAGGTTTGTTGGATTGTTTGGTTGTTTTTAAGAAGTGAACGAGAAGACTTTAATTATGAACAGAAATGTTTAAATTTGGCGTTAATTTATCTCGGATTCACCGAATTCGTGAACAGAACTTGTATGATGGTATCATTGCAGGTACGAAGACGTTTACTAAGCGATATGATCAAGCTGTATCGCTTCCTTCGTGAATGTGATCAGTTTGAAGCTTGGGCGAACGACACCGAGAATTTGCTCAAAGAGTGTGGAACACCGGACGATGTTGAAGCATTCCGAATGAAATTTGACGTTAGTTGATGTTAACTATTCCATTTATGATGTTTCATTATTTGAGCTTATTGTGGGTAATTTAAGTTGTATGTTTTTATAAGAGAATAATTCAGACTGAAAGTGCGAATAATTTGATGAATCGTTCAGAAATTAAACAACGAAATCAATACAAGTGGTAAGACACAAGTGAAGAGAATCAACGATATGGCCAACGAACTGACGAACGAGGGACACAGTCACAGTGACGAGATTCGTAGACGATGTGATGATGTTAACAAACTGTGGGCGCGGATTCTGAATCTGAGCAAATCACAGCTGGCTAGTTTGGTAAGTGCTCATTGTTATTGTTACTGTGCTGCTTATGTTATTCTTGGTTCATAATCATTGACGTCGCTATTGAATTCTCGTTGATTTGAAAAGNAGAATTTGGTTTACAGGAGAAAGCCGAACGCATTTTTGCGTTCAACGAAACGTGCAGAGATGCGCAATCGTGGATGGATGATAAGTTCAACTTGTTGAATCAGGAAGTTGATCCAAACGATCCGAAAGCAATGGCCGCATTGCATAAGAGATATCAAAATCTTGGCAAAGATCTGAAACCACTCGAAGAGAAGATTCGCTTCTTGAGAGAACTAGCCGATAAGGTATTTCATCGTCTCGTTGGGCTGTTTTGTTTTTGGTTTCGCTCTGGTTATGAGTGTGCTAAATCTTTAAGGACAATTTGTTGTGAGTGCTTATTCACTGAAATGATAACTTCCTGTTCGGATTCAGGTCAAGAAAGAGCATCCTGAAGAGGCGGCTAAGATCGAAAAAATGATCGATCAGTTGGTCGCGTTGCATGACGATCTGAAGCGGAAGGCGGCAGCACGAAACGAAGAAGCCGAACAGTCGCAAGGCCACCAGATGTTCGACAGTGCTGTGAAGTGAGTGTATTCACAGATCATCGAGAAAGTTCGATCTGTGATGGCTTGAGGAATTTCCGTTAAGGGGTAATGATGACGAAGTGAAATTCCCCGGGTGTACAGTCTTTATATAACAGCCATAACCGTAGCCTATATTTCACTAGCTAATAATGTCTAATTAAGGATGCAGATCACTTTTCAGCATTTGCCAAGTAAAAACACTGAACATTGTTTGTTTCAGGAATCTACGAGCATGGATTGATAAGACCAAGCAAACGCTGATGGATCATACTCGTCCAGTGGATATTGCTGAAGCTGAGGATTTGTTGAAGAAACATTTGGAGCTAAAAGAAGATATCGATTCGAAGAAATACGAATTCGAATATGTCCGTGATCTCGGCAATCGCCTGTTGCAGAAGAATGCTTCATTGAAGGACGTTCGTTTCATTTTCGCTGATTGCTTATTTTATTCTCCAAAATCGCTTTTCATGTCATTTATAATCATCCTTGTTATACGGCAGTGTGTGGTCAGGGGTTTATGTTTTCACGAAAGTCGTGCTAATTATTTGTTAAGCAATAGTCATTATTGAGCGTACGATGAAATTCTCATGAACTGAAGAAACTGTTTCCCATTAAATTAATATGGTCAGTCTGTCTCGAAATTTGATGTGTGCATATAACACAAGTAATGTGATTAAGGAGGATTGTCTTTGGAATTTGTGATAGTTTGGATTGAGTGATTTGTGGTTTTTTAGGTGCGTGATACATTGAAATCACTCGATGCCGAACAACGAAATTTGTTGGCCATGTGGGCTGATAAAGAGCATCGTCTGAGGGAGATGCTCGACTTGCAGTTACTGAACACAGAAGCCGAACGCATTGATGCCGCAACAAAAGGGCATGAGGCATTCCTTGAAATCACCAACCTTGGAGTTAGTGCTAAACATCTGCAATTCACAAATAATGAGATAGTAATTGAAGATTTTCGACGAAANTTGATTATTTCTAATGATTGAATAAAGTCCTTAATCACTTTAACCCTGAACAAACTCGTTGTGCGTTTCAGGATTCAGTTGAATCGGTGGAGAATCTGCTGAAACGACATGGCGATTTTGAGGCAAAGCTACGAGCACAGGAGGATCGATTGAGAGCTTTTGCAAAGAATGCTGATCAAATGATTCAAGCGGGTCACAGTGAATCGGCATACATTCAGCAGGTACGTACTTATTTGTTCATGTCGTTTTTTTCAGTTGCCGTCACTGTTTTTGTGGTATCTTCAGTATCGAAAGGCTTGTTGAGAAATAATATCAATTGGCGTAATATTTGACTATTGCTTGGTTTTCCCGGTGAACAATTGGTGTGTTTCAGAGGAAGGATGGCGTTTTGGCACGACGAGCAGCTGTGCATCGTGCAGCGGCTAAACGCCGTGCACAATTGGATGCTTCACTGGTCTATCAGAATCTGCGTCGAAACATTCAAGAACTGTCGCAATGGATCGCAGACAAAAAGAAGGTACAACTAATTGCTTCCAGTCAATGGAATTCAGTGTGCTTATCGATGGCACACTCATTAACTTTACGTTATTGTTGACCGTAAAGTAAGCATGAAATGANGAATAATTGCAGATCGCAAGCGATGATCCGCATAAGGATGCAGCCTCGTTGGCCTCACAACTGCTCAAACATTCAGCGTTCGAAGCTGAGTTGAAAGCGAATGCGGCACGTTTGCAACAAGTCAATAAGGTATCTATCGTCTGTTATCCGTTAATGAGAATGTTACTAGCTTCGAAGTTTCTTCTCGCAAATTTCGATAGGTTACGAACAAAAATTTACTCCTTCCGTTCACTCTGACCGAATTTCGTCGATTCTAGGTTACTTATGAGATGTTAGTGAAGGAAGCATTATTTAAACATGATTTGGGTTTAGAGAATCGATACTTTATTTGCCTCGTAATGAAATACTCGAATGCATCATTGTGATGGCTCTATCAGTTGCAATTACAATTAATTTAAGATGCAGCTAATTGTCTGGTGGACGTTGGAAGTAACTTTTGATCAATTGTGTGCGATTTTATAGGATGGTAATGCATTGATCGCTCAACAACATTATGAATCTCCATCAATCAAACGCTTGCTGGATGGTGTGAATCGGGAATGGGCTGAGCTATGCGACATAGCCGCAGCGAGAGGTGATCGCCTGAGGCAGGCGAATGCACAGAAGGGATTGAATCGTCTCATTGACGATGCACACCTGAAACTTGACGATATCGAAAACGCCTTGCAGTCGAAAGATCTTGGTTAGAAATTGCTGTTGAACACATACATTGTATGATATTTATAATCCTGATTACATCGATCAGTTGATTTGTCAAATCGCTTTGTTATTGTTCATTGCATCAAACGACTAATTGGACATGCTTTTTATGAAGAATTTTATATTTCAGGATCAGATTTACGTGGTGTTAAAGACTTGTTGCAAAAACACAGTTTGATAGAGAAGGATATGAGTGTTTTTGATAAGCGTATCAAAGAGCTTGCTCAGAAGGGTGCTTTGATGGCAAAGGATGGTCATTTTGATGCATCTGCGATTAAGTCCGACATCAAAAAGCTTGCTGATAGGTGAGCACATACATATTACTTGTCATTTCTTCTGTTTTCTGTTGAATTATTCGATCTTACACGTCGAGTTTGTCTGAAGTGAAGTTCGGAATTTTATGGTGGTACTGCCCATTTTATTGTGATACAGCCTTTAGAACCTCCAAGCAGAATCTGTATGAAGCAATATATAGCTGATTTTTCGTTGAACTGATTCAGTGAAGATATTCTTACTACGCATTGAGGAAATGAGGACTCATTTGTATTCAGTTACCTTTCAGCGTTCGTAAGATGATCGATAAAATTGCTTCGTTTAGATTCGAATCGCTCAAGGAACCAGCACGATTACGTCGTGCCGCATTGGAGGAAAGTCAAAAATGGCATCAGCTATCGTTTGACGTCGACTGTGAAATGCAGTGGATTGCGGAAAAGATACCAATCGCAGCATCTGAAAATTCAGGGCGATCGTTGACTGAGGCGACAAATATGCAGAAGAAACACGAACAACTAGAGGTAATTTCATTTGCCGTTTCATGCCTGATTCAAGGGAACTCCTCTAAAGCAATTGCTTCTTTCGGATATTCTACGAGGAAATTCAGGGACGAGGAAATTCGATCAAATTCTAAAGTTTAAAACAATTGAGTGGTTATTTTAGACGGAAGTTAGCTCAAGATTACCGCATATCAATGCAACGCTGCAACGTGGTGAAGAGTTAATCAAGGCCAGACATTACGCACGAGATCAAATTAAAGCCAAATGCGAACAGGTTAGTGGCAGCACTTGTATTCTTTATGATCACTAAGAAAAATACATCTTAAGATTTTGCTGAAGAACATCTGAAACATATGCAGCAATAATAATTCCAAAAGGTGTTAGAATTTCTGTGTGACACATCGCACTGCTGCGGAATATCAAATTCAAACGGAATTCATTTTGAAATAGTTCCATCGAAGGAAATGGTTTCTTTCTTTTTTTCAGTTGGCCGGAGCGTGGGCTCATTTGGGTAATTTAGTTCGCAAACGAAGAATACTTTTGGAGTGGGCACTGAAAGAGGAACAGTACTTGTTCGATGCAGCTGAGGTTTGTATACGCTTTTGTGGGTTTAGTTTAGAAATTCCATTTTCAATCTTTTTTCATCATGCGCTCGTTTCGTTGTGATTTTTCAACAACGGCTGAGTTAGTGCCTTACGATTGCATTATTTGAAGCAGAAACTCAGTAGTGAGCGATTCTTTTGCACTGATTGTTGTTGATGGGATTGCATTCAAGTTTTGATTCACGGAAATAATCCATTTGTTCAAGGTTGAATCGTGGATGAGCGAAAAACGCGTAGCACTGACGTCGAATGATTACGGCCAAGACGAAGACGCAGCACAGAAGCTGCTTGCAAGACACAAGGCGTTGCAAGCCGATATGAGCACTTATAGGTTTGTAATAGGTCTACTCACTTGAAAACCTCAGCAAAATGTCCGTTGGAGCTGTATTCTATGCAGTTTCATTGCTGTTTTTTTATGATACACTGCAATCAAGTGTCCATCGAACTCTCTGATTTTCATCCACACGCGATGTCAGTCTGAAACGATATNAGATTGTGATAAAATGACAGTTAGCGAAAATATCGATCGTAATTTGCAGACAGTGGTTGGAGAAATTAGCAGTGAAATGTGCTGAACTAAAGAATTCGGTTCGTTCGGGTGGCGAACGTTTCGAGAAACGTCAGGCTGAGCTAACGAATGAGTTCGATGAACTGTGGAGAATCGCCGAAGAACGTCGAAAACAGCTCGAGAACGCAGTTCATTTGTATCAGTACATGAGGGAAAGTCACGATTTGGAAGTGTGGATCAACGACCAATTGCAGATAGCGATGAGCGAAGATTATGGACAAGATTATGAGCATCTGAAGGTTTGTTTTTAAGTGATGTGGAATAATTGACCGTTCCTTTCGATACGTTTCTGTGGCAACAATAAATGCTTTGATTCATTAAAATTTTGATTTAAGGAATTGCAAAGTCGTTTCGAGGATTTCAAACAAAGTGTTAAGACCGGAAGTGAGCGTTTCGTGCATTGCGAGAATGCAGCCAGTTCGCTGCTGAAACGAAATCCGCCATTTGCACGAGACGTGCTGAAGAGACAAGAGAACCTGAGGTGATCTTTCAGCTCTAATTGTGATATTTTGAGTGAACTGAATCTGAATCGCACGATTCTAATTGATATCCTATTGTTTCTATGCCAGTGGAATGCCAGTATCAGAGCACTTTCTATGCGACCAATCGCACTGTAAGCGTTTATAATTGTTTGTGATGATTTGATGCAGCTGCACTCTTTCAAGCGGATTTCGTCTGCCCTTTAGGGATGTTGTTCAGCAGAACGAAGGAGATCATCGCAATTTCAAATAAATCGGAGGGTGATTAAATGTGTTAATTCAAGGTCTGTATGGACACTTCTACTTGACTACATCGAAAGTCGTGATCAGAAGCTGGAAGCTGCAGAGGAGTTGCATCGTTTCAATCGTGATGTGGCTGAGAGTCAAGACCGTATCGCCGAGAAGCACGCCTCGATTCCAAGTGAACTCGGTAAAGACATCAAACAAGTGCATTCGTTGTGGTTGAAGCATGAAGCGTTCGAAAACCAGCTTTCGGCTATGGAAAAGCAATTGCAGGTTGGTAGATGAAGATCAGTACATCTTCACAACATTCTGTGCATTATGCTATCATGTCCGTCGTGAAATTTTAGGAATTATTGGAAGAAAGTGCGCGCTTAAAGGCGGCTTATCCGGGTGGCAATGCCGAGCATATAACGGCACAGCAGACAGCATTGGCCGAAGCATGGCAGGATTTGCAGGATGCGACTGTTTATCGACGGGATATGCTGAAAGCAGCATACGATTTGCAGAGATTCTACGTTAATGTGAGTGTAGTGAAAGCCTTCATTGTAGTTTGATTGTAGCCATTGTTTTTATCGCTCAAGCTAATACGAAACGCTGTTTTTAGCGTGGGGATGTAGGCATGAAGTATCATTTTCGTTTTATTTGTTAATGAAAAATTCTAAGTGTCAAATGT